TAGCCCAAACACTCAGCTTTTTTTTTTTTTTTTTTTTTTTTTTTTTTTTAGGGATGAGCCTCATGAAACCCAAAAGATAATCAAAACACAAACATCCTTTATGATTTTTTTTTCCTCCAGTCTTATAACACTTTCAGAACTGGACTGACAGTACTGCATATAAGCATATACAGTAGATCACTAATGCAAGTTGAAAAATGCCAGAATATGCCACATCTTACCACTGATGTCACTTGTGTGAGGCCAAATGAAAAAAAAGTAATTTCAAGTCAACAAAATAGTTATGTTGGTTATGTTACCTTTTCAAGCTCTTGGAGATACGAGTGCTAATGAGCGGAGCTAATGGTAGCTGTCTCTGCTAGCTAAACAAAGCAAACTTCTTTGCTTGTTGTCTAGATGTATGTTTTGCGACAAATTAATGTTTAACTTCTGGCTGTCATAATTAAATGTACCTAAATTAATTAACTTAAGGGTCCACTCTAAAAATTGTGTATTTTATTACTATACATTTTCTGTTGACGTCACACACCACTGGACACACTTACAACAGCATGTTTACACATTGTTTTGTTTCGGTGCTTATTGAGTGTTTAAATACATCGGTCGTTTGTTGCCATTGCAACATATTAAACGTGTAGGATTCTCTGATTAGCAGAACGGCAACTGCCAAGCTAGCCGCTATCTCCTAGCCTTGGGAGTAAAGGTTGTATCTAACTCAGTGGCAAAGGTTTGTTTTTTTTCGTCAGGGTTCGTTCGAGATATTTTGAATGTTCAAAATTTGCTGGCGACAAGAAAAACTGTTCGCACCCATGGAAGCTTTGCAAATGTCTGGCGAACATCTTTACGACCTGTAGCAACCTTGAACGAACCCCTACGAAAAAACATTGTTTTCTTACACTAGCGAGCCTTCGCCGCTCATTGAGATACGGGCTTTCGGCAAATTCATTGCTGTTTTAGCCTCAGTAAGACAAGCTGTCAACTATTCCGGGTCATTAAGTGAAACTGTCTAGTTTTATTTCCACTTGTCTTCCTACAGTCGGGCAGTGAGAGATGTTTGATTTGTGTAGGGATCGTAGATTTTTATGATGGCCACTTTGTGATCTTTTGCGTCTCTGCCACGGCTTCCAAAGTTTCCCAATACTCTGTCAACGTTATGGCCCTCACATTAAAGATTAGGACATTTGGAAATGTATATCATAGCTGATATTAAATGGTGATGATTGCAGAGAAAAAAAAAATGAATGAACAAAAACAAACACACGTCAGGTCACATGGCTGTCTGTTTCAAACATAGCATCAACATTTTTTCCTCTCGTGAAATATTATCATGAGTGCAAGTGTGCAAATTTCAAAATGATACTGCAGGTTAGCGCGTTTACAACAAGAGGAGGCATTGTTTGCTCTGTGACTTCAATGAAGTGTTGTTTTAATTCATTGTTTTAATGATCCGCTTGAACGCTGCTCTGTTCTGTGAGACGTCTACGGCCAAGAAATTACTGCAGGGCATCGACATCGCTACCGCAACATACTTGGAGTGCTTTGGGGCAGGCTCGCGGCCAATGCGAGTGAAACCTTAGACAGACACACGCACACACACACACACACACACACACACGCACACACACACACACACACACACACACACACACACACACACACACACACACACACACACACACACACACACTTGACATGGAGTGCTCCACCATGTGACCAGTGAGACAAACGCTAGTTGCGTCGTGACTTCTGAGAATGTTAAAATGAGCGGTGAAGTGTGGCAAGGTGTTGGACATTTAATTGGTCCATTTAGAACTTGCGTTGTCACTATAAAATGAGTTTGCACTTTTAAATAGTTTCTACATGTTTTGAGCCCCAGCTAAAAAAATGATCATTATCTAACATTAACATGAAATTTGTGAAGTTGATATGATGTTTCAGAAATGGGAGAGGCACTAGTGAGTGGAAGAAATCCAGTCGCGGGTACACCTTTGTAAGAGCAACGTCTATCTCATTGCAAGTGCAAAATTACAAGCTTTTTTTTTTTTTTTTTTTTTTTTTGCGCCTTGTCAAAATAATCAAATAGTGGGTCTGGATTACTTTCTGTTCCAGTAGTCAACAACAACTTACTTAAGTAATTGAATCGTGATCCTCCTATCCTTTCACGACTCAAGATGCAGAGGTGGTATATCTACTCCTTCATTTGAGTTGACTACTCTGTATTTCTATCCGCTTCCAGCCAGAGCCAGCGAAACTAGGCCTGATTCTGTACCAGACCTTCAACGTTTGATCCTTGCGTCAGCGGTTGTTACACATTTTGGACTAAATGTGTTTGATTACATGCTTGCTTGACACTTTGAGGCCGTGAGTCCCCTAACACTAATAACCAAATAAAGCATAAATAAGCAAATTAGCCACTGGCGTTTTCAAGATGGAGTCCCCCGTGGCAAGAGCAGATAATGATCTAATGACTAAGTCTGGCTGTTTTAACGCTAGTTTATTGGCATTGTTCTAGGGGGTCGGAATCAAATTAGGAAAATGGCAGCTGTGTCCATGCCTTATCATTATGAAATGTAATCCAATTTGACGAGACAATCCTCTTGAAATGGACAGAGCAACCTCTCGAGCTCATCTGTAATAGCTGTGCTCTTTAGTCATGCTCAAGTACTCACGTGTCGTATGTCCGGGTTGGTCTTTGTGGCCTCGGGGATCTATAATGGTCAGTTTATGGGTTGCCGGGTCCATTTGGTTGCTAGGTACAAGCGCCATGTTTTTTTTTTTTGGTTTCATCTACTTACTCCCACGTAGGACTTTGTGGTCCAAGCAGACACGGGAATTTCCCAGTTTATATGCCATCGTATTTGAGGCTTAATAGAGGTGGAATGTCGACTGCAGTGACTAGGGTTGCCCTCTATACCGATACTAGAAAAGGACTGCAAAACCGCACCAGAAAAAAAACAACAAATTACACTATGTCACATATTTTCAGTACCCATGTACCCAAGTTCCAGTGTTTTGAATTCCAGTGTAAGTGTTGCGCTAAATATGGAAAGAATAAAATGCAGTCAAATATAAAAATCGTATCTACCTGGATATCTGTAATTTTTTACCATGTAAAAGAATTTAGTCTTTATCAAATAAAAATAATAATAATATAATGCAAATTGTTTTTCTGAAATGCGTTTTTCTTTTTTTTTTGTATTTTAAATAAGCCTTTAAATCTCAGCAGCTGCAAAAGAATCATGTTATTTTTGTTGAAAAATATCCTAGCATTTAAATCCATAATAATAACTCAGCTGTGGTGTCAGTTTTTCTCAAATATTAAATTGTTATTTTATGGATCACTGATCGTGTTTTCACTGTGAGAGGGAAACCTCATAAATCCAAATTTTGAAAATGTAATATTTTTTCCATAAATTGGGACCATTAGTCATTCCAAATGGGTCTATTATTTTTTACAAATTAACTAATCTGAAGTGTTTAAAATAGCTTTACAACTAAAGCGATACCATGTTCAGTAACTCCAAATTGTTTTCCCAGTTTTCTGCACAATAACTGCACATTTTTTTTCTTCACTGAAAAGTTGCTCCAGTGCAGTACTGCTGTTCAGTGAACGTCATCGGAATGGGCCACAATCCACAAGATTGAACGTCATTGCAATTCCGAGAATCCCCCAAAGATGCTTCTCTTTTATGGATATGACAGATGACATTTTGCATACATCTTAAGGGTATAGGAACGTTGCAACATGACAGTCCCCCCCCCCCCCCCCAATGTCCCGCATGCACCAATTAGCATTGAAAGGCCTGCACGACAGTCACCTCAAGGAGCAATTAACTTAAAGAAGCATATGTGCGGAATGAAAAGAGCAACTATATACACCATTCTGTCATTTTCTAATAAGCGCCCATTCAAACACAAGCACTCAAACGTGTGCAGCATATAGCAGATGGATGCCATTATGGCCTAATGGCTCTTTCTTCCCGCCTCAAAGCTTTTGAAACTAGTCATGAATGTGGACATGCTTACTGAAGCTTTCCCACTAAGTCTCAGATATATTGTGAGTGGCTCGTATGACAAAGTTGACAAGTATCGTGATGACATCACTCATCAGACTGTTGTTGTTCCCGGATAAAACATTTGCAGTGGACACTGAACATAATTCCATGAGACTGACCATTGTTTTCAAATTCATAAGAAATGATGATATTCGTCAGCCGGTGGTCGACTGGTGAGCACGTCGGCCTCACAGTGCAGAGGTGCAGGGTTTGATTCCGGCTCCGGCCTTCCTGTGTGGAGTTTGCATGTTATCCCCGTGCCTGCGTGGGTTTTCTCCGGGTACTCTGATTTCGTCCCATAGTCCCAAAAACATGCAGTGCGCAGGTTAATGAAACACTCTAAATTGTCCCTAAGTGTGATTGTGAGCGCAGATGGTTGTTCGTCGATGTGTGCCCTGCGATTGCCTGGCAGCCAGTTCAGGTTGCCCCCCCCCCCCAACCCCCCTCACCCAATACTCCCCGAAGATAGCTGTGATTCTTCTTCGACTTGTTGTCCTGTCCGAGAGTTCCTTTTTCTCTTCTTTGTTGGCCCTTAACAGACTCTTTATTTATTTATTTTTTTGTATTACAGGAGGCCCAGAAAGTGAACAACCCCGCCAACAATCAGGCAGCGGACAGAGCGCTAAAGGGTCCTGATGAGAAGACGGAGGAGGTCCCCGCCAGTGAGGTGGGATGGATGACTTCGGTCAAAGATTGGGCCGGCGTCATGATCTCTGCCCAGACGCTCACTGGCAGAGTTCTGGTAGGTTTTTGTTTTCTTTTTTCATTTAGAAATGTAAACATCTCACAATGTTGAGGTTGAAATTCATGAGCAGTGTGTTGTGCACTGACATGGCCACTTTGAGCTAAGTGCTGCATTTTTAGGCTTTCTCCCTAGGGGAAGCCCACCACAACTAGTTTTCACACTCAAGTTGGCCTCGGCCCAGATTGGCTCAGCTCAATATTTAGCCCGGCGCTATCAAGTTTTAGTGTGCATTGCAGAATTTAGATGAATGGTCTAACTCTGAACATGCAAACCAACTGTTTATACCTTTTGATGTTTCAAAGTACAACTCAGGTTATTATAGTGCGATTTCACTCCATCCTGTATTGCGCAAGTCCTGACTCCAAAGTTTCTTCCTGTTTACATTTTTGTCACCCAATAAGCGTCAAGCATTTTGGTTCACCACACCAAGGACACAACGTTCCCAAACCCCTGATTCAGACCATAATAAATTTGTCATCCACATCCCACATCTTTTTACGTCATGTACAATCCGGATTTATCGCCGCCACACACCGTTGAGACTTTATTTAGATTCCACAGGGAACCTTATTTGATGTCAAATTCTGGCTCGAACGTTATATTTGGCCGGCACTGTCCAATTAGCAATTATAGCCGACTTGTGGCATGCTGTTGTACAAGGTGCTGTTTACTCTGCCAGCTGAACCAATGAGTTCAGTTACACGCTTACAGTATGGTAATTTGTCACGTAGGAGTGGCAGATACCAAGCTGCCACTTTAAATTGAGAATGTATTGCAGTCGATTAGAAATGATTTGAAAAAAAACAAGATGTGATTCTCGTGTAGATTTTCGACCGGGATTGAAGAGGTTTCACGAAAATATGGCATTTGCGATGTAGGAACGACAGCTATTTTATGCCGAGTACCTCCATGTTCAAGTGCTAATTAATGCGATTCTGGCGCTGTCAATCAAAAGTGAACATCGTCATATATCGGAGCTCATTAGAGTGCAAGTGTAGCCGATGAAGTTTCAAATGAGTATGCATGATCCCCATTGTGTTGAGATGAGATTTTTCCTTGCTGGCCTTAAAAATGTAATTATGATGAGCCCTGAATCATGTGCCACACTGCGGGAAAAGGACAGAAGATGTGATATTATACGGTTTGATGGTACTGCCGCAATTGTAGCCCGACCTAAAACACCTCACACCGGAGTATTAATAGCCATGTGTTGGTTGAACAATTTAAAATATACCGTGAAACTGGAATTCTTGTTGCAATTGAGGCAAAATGGAGTACAATGATTGGCTGCCTCCAGCGAAGACGCTGTTGATTGGAGTTTGCCGTTGAAAGAAAGACAACACAATGTCACCGTTGGGAATGCACTGTCACCTGAAAAAAAACAAAAATGATGCTACATTTGTGATTTTAGGGGTCTGATAGCTTATCACTGGGGCAGTTTCCCAAGGTGACAACTATTGCATCCTTTAAACACGGTAGCTATTGGGACCCTACCATTTGTAGGCAAATTATCGTAGGGTCCATATTACTGCAATACGTATTTTCGGGTACATATTTATACATAAAGGGTACGGTCTAGACCGGGGATGGGCAACATTAAAAAATGGTTCACTGCCGCACCTGATGATGAGTTTTAAGTTGTAATGACATTCATTAGTAGTACTTCATCTCCATTAAAGAAGAAAATCAAGCTAATGGCAACACCGCCAACATACACAAAAAGATGAAGGGCCGACCATGTACATTGACATGTATATAATCTCATGTCCAGGTGTGGTACTAGATTGTGAGCACTGTATCTTAGCGTCAAACACATTGAATAATGTTTACTTGACCTTATGACGGAAAAAAAGGTGACATTCCCAGGCCGCAATGCAGCCTGGGAATGGCCGAAATGTACGCAAGCTACAGATGTTTTTTTTTTCCTTCACAAAAACTGTTGCACTAACTGCAATCAGTAAAGGAGGTAAATAGTAACTTAGTTGTTGACTTTTTTGGATAAACTGTACTTGTGAAGTTTTAACGCAACATATTTTACCCTCACTTGAGTGTTTTTGTGAAGAAGCACTTTAACTCCGTTGCACCGAGCTACATTCACTACTTGTGTTTTATCTATTACCGCATGCGCAGTCAATTTGTTTTCGGTTTGCTAGAGAGACTTGAGCCTCGGGCGCTGATACGTGACACCGTTTCACCAATTCATCGTAACCTTCACTGAAGTTTGACTCCGATTCACCAATCAAAGAGAGCCAGGCCATCACGTAACAGGATCCGACGTATCTCCAGCTCCACACAAGTTTTCAAAGTGACTAATTTATGTGAAGGATGGCAGAACAGAATTTTGGGGGGGGGCTTTTGCGAGAGTCACATTATTCCAAAGAAACAGTACTCTTACTGGAATACAATTTTTGGCACACTAACTGTGCTCAGTTGTAATTGAGTAAAGTCTGAATGGAATTTCAGGAGCTGTCGCTGTTAAGTTTGCCGTCGTGTGACAGTTGCTTCATACTTGGCCAGGGCAGTGAGGAAAAGAGGAGTGGATTGGAGAGGGGAGGGGGGCTCTCATGGCGGAATATGACGAATCCTATGGGGAGCTGTCAATTTACAAAATGAGGCTCTCTTTCATCCACTGGCGTGGTCTCACACTTTCATCTCCAACTGCGCCTTAGAGCTCCAGCTCCATCCAGCCGCTATGCATAAATGAATGTGAGCGAGTGACATAGAGGCAACAACATGGAGCACGACACAGGAAGAAGAGCTGGCGAGCAATGAGACACCAGTTGCTTTACGGAATCTGCAAGGAAATATCACCTTTCGTTTGTGTGACATCCACAGGGGACGATAATTGTGACCAGTGTTTCCCCCGCCCCCCCGAGTTTGCATAACGTGATGTGATGATGTGCAGCACAAAGCGTGTGTGTGTGTATATATATGCAGGTGAATACTCTGTGTAGGGTGAATGAGTATCTCCTCGTGTGGGCGCAATATGTACATTTGTAGATGCTTGGATTTGTATACACACTACACTGTACTTGCTCGATCGCTTGGGTAGGCAGTGTGTGTGTGTGTGTGTGTGTGTGTGTAGGTGGGTTAGTGATGGTTGTGGGACTGGTGCACTCCCATCAGTGTTTCACCGCAGATCAAGATTAGAACGAGAATCTATGTACACAAAACCTGGCCGGTAACCATAGCAACTGCTGTGTAGTGGGGCTCCGTCATCTGACATTAAGGGGGTGTCTGCCTCAACTGAGCAAGTTTAAGCAACACTCCCTCGCACGCAAACACACACAAGTGGCATTCAAGCATCTTGATCCCGACTCCATCGCATCCAAATGGAAGAAGCGAAAACGCCCAAGGTGTTGTTGCTCAAAGCCGAGCGATGCAGTCACAAGTGGGCCGCACTCAGGATGTGTTGAGGGCGCTTTCAGATCTAATCACTCTGATGGAGTTTAGGGGCCACCTGGGCCACACTGAAGGGCCACCGAAGAGGCATGCTTGCCTCGTGTGTGTGAACAGAAGTACGTCCTCGGCTAACTATAGCACTGCTGGATTACACTCGTCTTTGGGATTTACCTGCTATTCTTCCTCGTGATCACAAAAGTACAGCTGTTTATAGTTACGAGATGTCGACAAAATACAAGAATCTTTGTATGTTTTTTAGTCAACAATACCTGTTTTTTTTGTACACTTTAACTCTTTCAGGGACAGCGGTTACTACAGTGGACAGCTTATCACATTATCAGGTTACAGGGTGCATGAAAGGGTTAAGAACAATCCGTTCTCACATACTTCTTTTGGTAAAATGAGGCCCATTGTCCCCCTTTGGAGGTGGTAGAAAATGTCAACCCACCACCCATTGTTTGACTCTGACATGTTTATGAACAGATTTGCAATCAAAGCTCATACAGTATGGCAAAAGGCAGCTGTTCCCTTGTGGAAGCGATGAAGAGTGGAGCGTAACCCGCCTTGCTTGTAAACACGGTCCTCCTCTTTTCATGGTTTGATTTCCCGGCTGACGGACTGTGTTGCTGCATACCGCTGTCTTTATTTGCATATCGAGAGGATGAATGAGATGCAATGTGGAGATGCATGTAGGAACACACACTTTTTGAGCGGTCGGATAGCATTGGATTATCGAAAACTAGGGAAACATGATTTCCTGGAAACCCTCAATAAGAAATCGTGGGAATGAACAGTAGTGACCCGGGAATTTGCTAAATTTACTGACTGAATTAACCAACAACTCCCAAATTCAAAGGCCTGGCCCCCAGCCTCCTATTTTAATGCTCCACGCTGTGCTGATTGAGTGGCGTGGTGGTCGCTCTTTTTCACCAGTGCGTGATTTGACTTTGCCCAACTGGTTTCGCTCTGATGAGAGTGGAATTGAACATCCACCCACGGCACATAACCATTACGATCTGACATGTGCTGCATGAGAAACAGCTCATTGTGGTGATTAGCAAGAAGGCTAGTCGAGCAGAACCCTATTAAGGCTTCATGGTATTGTTCAGAATGTGTTCGCAATGTCAATAAAGACGGGGCTGTAGGCGTACTCGGCCACTTACAGTCCGTGTTCCAATTTAGGAGTCCATCTTTGTGCCTTGTGTGTTACAGCCTGACATTAGCGCTGTTAATAGATTTGTCAAACTTCTCATTTCTAGTCGAGCGTCACGTCATATATCCTTTTTCAATAAGGCACCGTCAACCTTTGTGCGCAGGGTCAAGATTAATGTTCAGGTGAGCCCTGTCTAAGGATGTCTTTGTTTTTCGCCTGTTCCATTTTTGGAATAGCACCACATCAAATATTTAATAGCGTCTGCAGTGTGGCTTTCAGCTCACTCCGGAGCTCAGGGTCGAAGCGGCGACAGACATTGACAGTAATAAAAGTAATCGCACGTGACCTCCCGAAATGGAGAAGGAAATGGACCGATAGGTGTATAAGCGTCATTTGTGTGGACTTATGCAAAGCAGGAAGGAACTTAGCAATTGGAGTGCCA